AGCAGGTTGTACTTCCCCGTGCTCACAAACCACTTGCCTGCGGGGAGAGAGCATCAATGAGTGACCCCCTCCTGGACACAAGGGGTGGGGGGCTGTCTCTCTCAGGGCCCTAGAGCAGAAGGCCTGGGCAGGGGAGAAGGGATTGCTGCAGGAGAGGCAGGTGCTGCAAGGAGGTGCAAGACCATCTCCCGGCTGGTGGGGAGGAGAGGGCAGAGGGTGAGTCCAGGCAGGCCGCAAAGCGGGGTGGAGGGAGAGAGACATATACCACATAGTGCTGCAGCCCACAGCCTGTGGTCTGGCTCCCTGCTGGCCCCAAGCCTCTTACCGCAGGCGGCAAACTTGAGCGAGAGGACGCAGCTCTCGTGCAGGTGCAGCTGGTACTTGTCGGGCTTGGTGACGTGCAGGATCTCCACGTTGCTGCTCTCCATGCCCACGGCCAGCCACTCACCCGTGGGGCAGTACCCCAGCGAGAAGATCTGCAAAGGAGGCAGAGTCAGGCCGTGCCTGCTGCAGGTGAGGGGGGCCCTGCCCTCCAGGGTCTGGGCACCCACCTGGGAGCTGAAGTCGTGCTGCTGCAGCTGGCGCCCCTCCCGCAGGTCCCAGCACCGCACGGTGTTGTCCAGCCCCCCCGTCCACAGCTTGGTGCCATCGTTGGAGATGTCGATGCAGCTGGCGCCGTCCGTGTGGCCCTGGAACTGCCTGAAGCAAAGGGAAAGGGAGAAAGAGCGGGTGTCAAAGCACGGGTTGGTGTAGGGGCAGCCCCAGCGCCTGCCCCCCTGCATAGTGGGATCACGCAGCTCACCGGACCAGCGTCTGGTTCTGCAGGTCCCACACGACAATGTTGCCATCGCTGCAGCAGGAGAAGCAGACCTTGGCGTCGGGGCTGATGGCCAGGGCGTAGCAGGCAGGCGCCGAGGAGGTCAGCTCGGCCTTGATGCGCGGGGTGGGGGCGGCCAGGTCCCAGATGGACAAGGTGCTGGCTTCCCCCCCCACGATGAGGCTGCGGCCGTCCGGCAGGAGCTTGCAAGACCGGATGTAGTTGTCGCGGTTCTGGGATTGGGGGAGAGCAGTCAGTGTCTCCACCAGCTCATAAAAATCTCTCCCCTCGTACAGCCGACTGCATCCTCCTTAGCGCGGGCTGTGGGCAGCTCTCAACCAACTCTGCGCAAGGGGGATGGTGGGCAGAGACCTGGCTACCTGCACCGTGACCAACACCCGGCTGGCACAAGAGGGAGCCCCGAGCTTCACCCATGTCCCATCAATGCCAGCACCTCTGGGAGCTGGGCCACAGGCGTGGCTGGCTGAGGAAGGGAAGCACAGAGTGGGAGCCTGGGGGGTTCAAGTTCATTGCCAGGGTCTCGGAGGCAGCCCGCAAGGCTCCCAACTCATCCGCTTCCTTGTTCACACATCCACACGTGGCCCCCAGCCAGCAGGGGAGAGGAGCTTGGTGTAGGACATGTAGCAGTACTTGCAATCCAGCACAGTGGAGGTTAAAAAAAAAAAAAAAAATACTGCTAGGGAGATCACCTGCCACCCCCAGCCCAGCCTGGGAGAGCTCCTGGGTTTGCCATCCTGTTTCCCAGCTTTTCTACGTGCATTTTTTGCAGATAACAAATCCGGGTCCCGTGGTAGGGCCCACCTCCTGTCTCAAACCACTGCATGGGCAGAAGCCATATCCCACCCCAGAGGAGCCTGGGGGTGCGTGGGGCATTGAGGCAGCGGGGTGCCCAGGGGAAGATGCCCTACTGCTCACCCCAGCAGGCTCGCCCTGAGACCTCTGTAAGCCCAGCAGCCCACCCTGGGGTGCACCCCCGCTTGGGGACGCGCAGGAGTGGGGCACTGGAGACGGGGACCAAGCAGGGAGCAGCTCAGACAGAGACCCCCTCATGCTGAGCCCCTGCTGCCCTGCCCTGCCCAGCCCACCCAGCCAGGCTGGGGAAAGG